GGGACTCGCAGACCCTTCGAGCCAGCCCTGGCGCTGCCGCTGGTCCCCACCGGGGCCCCACCGGCTCCGAGCCCGCTAAAGCCTGTATCACTTCTCCAGCCGCACCTCCTGAATGTTTCCCCCTAAGCTGGATTAAGTCACCTCTTAAAGAACTCCGGCTAATCTCCCCGCAGAGCCCGGGCCCAGCCCTCCCTCGGCTGGGCCAGCGCCCGCTGATCCTCCCCGCCGGGGCTGCCTCTTATTTCAAGGCTGGATTTGTCCGTCTTCGGCTCCCAGCCCTGGATCTTGCGCCGCTCGCCTCCACCTGCACTCAGCAATCAAACCGCCTTGTAACCTTTTCCCTGCTGCGGGAACAGGCTGAGCCGGGGCAGGTTTAGGGGCAGAGAAGGAAGCAGGAGCTGCCCCCGCCCCCGCGCAGCCCCGGTTACTCCCCAGCAGTGCTGTGGGGCGAAGCGGGTTTTGCAGCCTGGTTCGGTCCCTCGCCGTGCAGCGATGTGCGGTGGCCCGACCGGGTGATGTCCTACGGGCCCGCGCAGCTCTGCCCTCTCCAGTCCCTGGTTTCTCCCCAACTGGCCCGGCAGCAGGGCAGCGACGGGCAGGTTTTTCCGGCTGGAGGAGCTGCGCTCGCTGCTTCGCCCTCAGCGACAGGGTGCAGGGGCTGCACGCAGCAGCGGCCATGGCAATGGCACCCTAGCAGGGACGGCTGTGCTGACAGTGGCCCTGGCGGCAGGGACGGCTGTGCTGACAGTGCCCCTGGCGGCTCAGCACCCCGACTGTTTATCGCGGTGCCTAATTTTAGGCCCTTGCTTTGCAGAGCTGTGCCCATGTTTAGTGCCAACTGCCCCTTCCCTCGGCAGCCCCTGCCAGCTCTCCTCAATGCGCTGTGCTCTCAGGGCCTGAGCAGGATTTAAAACCTCCCCTTGCCACCTCCTGCACTCAGCAGCAGCTCCTCCCTGGCACTCTCCCAGGCTGCCCAGGCTGCCTCCCCTGGCGGTCCCCTCACCCCACGGCACAGCAGCATCTCGGAGGAGCCCCGGCTCGAGCC